ACCCGGGGGGGGGGGGGGGGACTATTTATTTCCAGTTTACACACTGCCAAGTCCAGACTGTTTTTCAGACGAAGAGAAATTTTTTTACTGAAAATTTTTGTATCAAATATAGAGAAGAGATATTCATTTTTTCAATAAAACTTCGTTGATATATTTTCATCGAAAAAATCGTGCCTATTCTTCCAATGTTTCCTGCCAGATTTTACGGTTTTATTGATTTCTGCCGCGTGTGTGGCGGCATTGGGTTAATGATATATATATTATTATTATAATATATATTAAGGGTTAATAATATCAGGATTTGTAAAAGGGAAAAACAGAAAGCAGTCATTTTGACAGGTTCGGTAGTTCTAGCATTAAGCACCGAGTAGAGAAAGAGAGAGAGAGAGAGAGAGAGAGAGAGAGAGAGAGAGAGAGAGAGAGAGAGAGAGAGAGAGAGAGAGAGAGAGAGAGAGAGAGAGAGAGAGAGAGAGAGAGAGAGAGAGAGAGAGAGAGAGAGAGAGAGAGAGAGAGAGAGAGAGAGAGAGAGAGAGAGAGAGAGAGAGAGAGAGAGAGAGAGAGAGAGAGAGAGAGAGAGAGAGAGAGAGAAATAGAAACGGTCTGTACTAGACAGACGATCGACTATGCTAGAATAACGCTAAAATGCTGCACATAAAATTGCCTATTCTACAGTTTACCACTAATACTAGATTAGCTTATTAATGCTAGGTTACTTTAATTCCAGGTTAGCGTTGTTTCATCTCCGAAGAAGCTGGTAAATTAAGAAAAGTAGATCAAGGTAGAAAAGTGACTTTGAACCGTCTGCTAGAGGGACCTCCGTTCGGTACGCTATCTTTAATTCAGCGGGGTCGCTGACCACCGCAAGATGTCACTCCGCCGCGCAGTGGACTACCGCTGGATCAGTTCTTACCCCATTTATATACATTCTTAAAGAGATTTCTCTCCAGTCGTATTATCAATCTCGCCTTTAAATAACCCACTGCAAACCGACCAACGGCTCTCGTTAACAAACTTCGACATTGCCACGGTGCGCGATTACAACGACATCCGGCGCAACGTTATTAATTCTAAATACAGAGAAACGACAGTCAAAAAGCGCAACTCGGCTCTCGGTATCGTTCCAATCGATCGGCAACTTAAACCAGACAATTGAGCCGGTGGAGAATGACGAAACAAGAAATAAGATTCGATCGAGCCAAGCTGTCCGTTAAAGCAACCAGCCCCTTCCAAAGGCGAAAAAAAAAGAAGAGGCGTACGACAAGGTAAAAAAAATCGCAGATAAATCAATGGGTATAGAAAACTCACCGTGCTCGATCGCTGAAGAAGTCGACCTTGCTCTTCTTCTTCATGATAGCCTGGGGTTGATGCAGAGGACTGACACTCGGTTCGGACGTGGCCGGAGGGGAGCTGGACCCGGTGCTGGAGGACAAGGATCCAGCCCTGCCGCGTCCATTCTCGATCAACTGTACCTCAGTGGCGCCGCGTCCGTTCGCAGAAACATGATTCCCGTGGCTGGGCGGGCCCGCGGACACGGCCAGCGTGGGCCTGCTGTTCTGCCGATTGCGGCGCTTCTTCTTCTTGGCCTCGTTCTCGTCGGGACGATTCCCGGTGGCGTTGGCCCCGGAGCCCGGCGGCATCCAGTCCAGGTCCTTCTTCAGGTGTCCGCGGCCGCAGCGGCAGCCGCAGGCCTTGAACGCCAGATCGTAACCCTTCTTGGTCCAGAGGTTCTGGTGGCGTTGCCGCTCGGACCAGCTGCGGGCGCGGCCGCAGCTCTTCAGATAGGTGAGCACGGTTTGCTCCCAGGCGTCGAAGCACTCGCGGTGCATGAACTGGCCCACGGGGCAGCTCTCGTTGTTGCAGGACACCTTGACCGTGTCGTGTAGAGAGCTCAGCCGGATCAGCGCGTCGCCTCTGAGACACTCTCCAGTCGGCGTGCAACAGCGGGTCGTCGCCTGCGACTGTGCCAGCAGGTTGTTGTTCTCCATGGTCTCCAAGCCGGCACCGGCTCCGCCGTTCTCCAGCAGCGCACCACCGTGACCGTTCGTGTGACGACGCGGTGCCATCACCCCAAGATCCTTGAACCGTGCCAAGATCGCCGAAACCTCGGACCCCGTCTGTGCTGCCCTTCGATCCAACTCGGTAAGCCGAAAAATTCTACCCCAAAGAAGAACACACCGATCGAATAATCGCAGACAGCTCTCTCTCTCTCTCTCTCTCTCTCTCTCTCTCCTCTCGAATCGTACGGATCGATGGTATGTTATTCTCTTCTAGTTCGATCTCGAAAAAAAAACGATCCCGGACAGGCCCACTATTCCTTCATCTTCACGCAAATCCCGCGTCTCGCTGGTCCCCGCTCACGCACACCCATTCATCGATCAACGAAACCGGAAGTGCCCGCGAAAAATTAAAAAAACAGCCTACGCCGAACAAAATTTCCTCGACGACGTTGGAGTCACAAAAGGCGGGGGCCGCCGGTGGCAGCGGCAGGATGATCCACACGCGACGCGCGATCCTCCGGGAGGATGATCTCGATCGTGGGCGTCGTGCACCAAAGTCAAGGTCACCGATGGTTCGAACCGGTCACACAACAGGGTAAGTCCGCGTCTTCTCGCGAGGGCACGCGGCTCGCGACCACGAAGCGAACCGCCGAGGGCGCACACTGGTTCTCCCTGCAGGACGCCGGATGTGCAGGACCGATCGGTCGGACGTCGCGTGGCGACTGGCGCTGGTTTCGAATGTCAGGGTCACCACCGGGCGCTAAGCGCGCGCGCACCGCTCGAACACGCAAAGTTCCTCTCTCTCGCGGCGATCGCGTCTCCCAGAGTCCGGTTCGCGAACGATCGGCAGGACCGGCGACGGGAAAGCCGAGAGGTCGATGGAAGTTGACGTTGACAGGGGGGGAGGAGGTCGTCGTCTTCGAGGCTGCGTCCTCGATCGAGGGGTTGCGGGAGAGATCGGTGGACGCGGGGGCGGGATAAAGCAACAAACAACACACCGAGGCTCCTCGTACTGCTCTTTCTCCCCGTTTTTGCTCGCGGCGGCCACGCTGAGGAGAGAGAGTCCACGACGCAAAACACTTGCTCGCACGTAGGGTGCACCACTCACTGAGCGCCGGCGACGACGACAGCGTGCCGGTTGCCGTGGCTCGGCGCGCGGCCGAGCGCGAAAGTGAGGCCCCATTGGGTGAAAGCGAAAGCACCGTGGTGGGGGTCACGGCTAGCGCGCCAATCGATGCGCGCCGTTGTCGTCCCTCCGACTGGCGCACGCTACCGCTCCGTCGTTCCCTCCTTATCGCGCCGCTGTCTGTCTCTTCTTCTCGCCAACGCCACGCCGGCGCTGCATACGCGAACGCGCGCGTTTTACTTTTCGAAGCCGGCGGAGGCCGCCGCGAATAATCCCGGCGAAGCGTGTGCCGGCACGTATGTACGAGGGGCCGTCACACACGCAGCCCGGCCACGGATTCTCTACCTTGTTGTCCAGGTTTTCGGCTCCCACGACTAGCCGCGATTTTTCCGAACGCTACGCGAGCTCGAGTTCTTACGGTTTTCTCGCGTTTCTCGGAACACGGGAATCGTTTACCGGTAACGACGAAGGTATGCTTTTTATTGACATACATGTATCAACGCGCGATTCTTAGTCCGCCTCGGCAACGAACTTCCCCTGAATTTGTCGCGAATTCTGAACCGAATGCACGTTCGCGTTTACTTTTTAACACGTTGAATGCCACGCCGGTTTTACAGAAATTGTCCGTGGCGCGACGATGGATTTGCTTTTATGTGACACATATAATGTTGAAATATTATCTGCAATAGATAAGTTACAGTGTATAACCATGTTTGACATGTTAATTGCGACTGGGGTCACTGTTCGAATTGACGATGGTAATAATAAAAAATTTTGGATATTGACATTTGTTTTAAATTATGTGTAATTATGTATAACCATGTTTGACATGTTAATTGCGACAGGGGTCACTGTTTGAATCGGCGATGGTAATAATACAAAATTTTAGATATTGACATTTGTTTTAAATTATACAGGATGTCCCAAAAATGTCTCGCAATCCGGAAATGGCGAGTTCCTCGGATCATTTGAATCAACTTTTTCCTTTACAAAAATTTTCTCCAAGGCGCCGTTAACGAGTTATCAATGAAAAACAGTGACCAATAAGAATCGAGTACGACTGACGCGAGGCGGCCCAGCCAACCAGCGCACGAAGCCCAGTTCCGCTCATTGGCTTGGTCGCCTCGCGTCAGCTGAGCTCGTCTCTCATTGGTCACTGTTTTTCGTTAATAACTCGTCAACGGTGCCTCGGAGAAAATTTTTGTAAAGGAAAAAGTTGCTTCGAATGACCCGAGGAACCCGCCACTTTCGGATTGCGAGACATTTTTGGGACACCCTGTATATATTCCTATAAATTTGGGCGCACCGGTCACCGGTGGCCACCATGGCGTCACCGCCAAGTTAAGTGCCGGTCACCGGTGACCCCCGTGGCATTCAACGTGTCAGTATAAATTGCGATCGCGCGAGTGTTCGCTCCCCGTTGATGCATCGTGCGTCGCAGATTTTCTGACAAACCGAGTCGAAACATCCGTTCTAAACATCGGGCTAACCGCTCTAAAAATATCGAACGTGGTTGTTGCAGTTTTCGGACAGGGTAAACAATGTTCCGGGGCACAAGTAGAAAGTGCCGACTTGGCAGCTCGTGTATTGGCACATAGCTTAACGGGATGATAAATTTCGAGCTGTACAGTAGTTGCATAATGTTTAAGTTCGTTGAATGTACCGAAGCTGACCCCGGACCTATAAATACGTTCGATGGCTAAATTTATTCATTCATGCATAACTCGCGCCGAACCGGCCAGATATTCTATCAATGCACCGCCGGCAACATTTATAAAACATCGCTGCCGGCTAAAATATTTCGTTCCGCGGATATTCGAGTTTCGAAGGTGGGCATAAGAACGTTCGGCGCGAAAGTTCTCGCGAGTTTCTCTACGAATCCGGGCTGTTAGCGCTCCGAGAGGAGACACACACGACGTACGTGTCCCATTCAACGTACACGTATGTATGTATATTTCTAATTAGCGATGACTCGAGGCATTCCCCTTAATCAATTATCCGTCGACGTATAACGCCTAATGCATATGAATTGTTGTTCCGTTTCTTTTTTTTCATCGCCGGCCAGCCTTCGGAGATGCTCGAGGTTAATTCGATTTAAATGTTGCGGGCTCTTGTAACATTGTGCGATGATGAATTCGCAACATTGCCGCCCGGTGTCACGGAGTTCAAGCGTTAAAATAGAATCACGAAGAAAAAGGCTTGAATCCCTGACGGCTTAAAAGCAACCGGCACGATCGAGTTGTCGAGCCTGGATAAAAATACTTGTCGAACAATGAGCTTGTATTATTCGGTCCGCCGATCGAGATAACGATTTAATCGCGCCTAGAATTAATGCGAGCCCCTCCAAGTTCTTTCGTTGCTCCGTCGATTAGCTCGCGTTTGAAGATCGAACTTCTTTCAAGGATTTTTAACCGATTCCAGTTAGAGTGCCCCTCCAGTCGGTGCAGTTTTTATCGGATTCCCTACTCGAAGGTGATGAACGCGTTTTTAACCCTTCGCACTCGAAGCTATTTTAACCCTTAACGATCCAACGCCGTTATACACGCGGCAGAAATCAATAAAACCGTAAAATCTGGCAGGAAACATTGGAAGAATGGGTACGATTGTTTCGATGAAAATATATCAACGAAGTTTTATTGAAAAAAATGAATATCTCTTTTCTATATTTGATAGAAAAATTTTCGGTAAAAAATTTCTCTTCGTCTGGAAAACAGTCCGGACTTGGCATACACTTGTGTAAACTGGAAATAAATAGTTTTGGTCCCCTAAGGGTTAATTATATTTTAAACACATTTTCCGATCTATAGTGTTTCTATTTTACACGATTTATTGCGATTTATGCGTATGAAAGCCTATTATATTGGCAAGCACAAAATTTGCAATTTTAAGAGTCTTTTAGATATAAACGAGTCCGATACTGTTACAATCATTTTTGAAAAATAGCATAGCAATTTTTAGTGGCGCCTCAGAGTCGCCACTCGAGTGCAAAGGGTTAAATCGATGCAACCGTTGCCTCGGTGGCGTTAACGGCGCACAAAAACGCTGATCTGAAACTTTTAGCATACTTTCCGAAGACAGTCGATTTGTCGGTCGAATCTGGATGGTCCTGATGCCGGACAAAAACGAGTCGAAGTGCAGCAACAGGATCTCGGTTGCAGTACAGGTTGCAGTATAGTTCGCAGAGACTGCTGGTAAGGTCTCGAGACGCCCATCCGTCTCGTTTCCCGGCTAAAAGCACGAAACACCTCTCCCTAAAAATTGAACGTCAGCCCGCTTTGAAGTGTCACGTATGTCACGTGGTCAGTAAATATCCTGGCGACCTACGAGAGGTGGGGGGGGGGAGACACGGTGTGTACCGTGCTCTCGCGACACTTCTCTTTTTCCCGAATATGTGACTTCTGACTGGTGTGTACCTTCGCTTCGAGGGGCCGCCGGTATGAAACGGCTACGTGTCTCACGAGGTGTAAATATTTACGCCACCTGGCCCTTGGGTATATTACGTCGGAATTCTAGAGAGAGAAAACGGTCGCGGTTCTTTTTGCACCGCGTCGGGCTATCCGGCGAGAGAGCGTCTCTGATCCTCGCGTTTCCTTTCGGCCGGGCTTTAATCAGCGGCTCTTAAACAAATTTCACCGGGGAAATTCGATCAAACGCGAATTACATCGTTCAATTACGCGGCCATTTTTACTCGATTTCTCGAGGGACGGTGCTCCCAGTGCTAGAATTTGTACGGACGCGAGAATCCTATCGCCGGCATAATTTCATTACATTTCGATTTTGTCCGGCATCGATTTCGATCGCTCCTAAATTCGATCGAGCACTAAACACGACGCTCAATCTCGTTCGCGACACGATGGCATTTAATGCGACAATTTCAACGAGCGTATATATATACGATTCTTTTCTATTGTCCGCGACCCGTGTCCCCCCGATCCCGTCTCCGACGACCACCTCGTTCAACATGCTCGTGAAAATACACAACCGTGCGAAACCTTCAAAAGTCTCTCGCGGACAGAATAAACGTTTCGAAATCTCTTCCCAGGAACTTCACCAATAAAATCGCCGTGCACGTATACACGTATACACACCACGGAACCCGCGAAATGGCAACAAACCTTTCTTGTCCCGGCACGACACGTTCAATGAACAGAAAAACCGTTCCGTATGATACGCGGTTCATTTACGCTTCCACAATGTATGTACATATGTGTATGTATGAGAAAGCCAGTTTCGTCGTTCGTTGAACTCGCAAGAAAACGCCCGATGCGACAACATTCGAGGAAAGTCGAGGTCGGTCGCGCGCGTCGGCCATCTTTAAATTTATCCAAGGTTGCGGTCGCGAAAATCCTGCGAGCATTTTATTTTTATTTCGATTTCTCGAGCCGCTCATACGACCGGCCACTTGACGAGATTTATTTAGAGTGGCTTCGCTATTCTGGACCTCCGACGATGACGCTGGTAACCCGCGCGCTGCTCTTCATTCTCCTTTTATCATCGCGCTCGAGAACCCGTCAGCGATTCTAGCTGATAAATATTCCGGATTTCGACACTCGAAATACGAAAACAACTTTCTACCGGCAAAAATTAACGGAGGCCCGCGGACAGAATTGTACGCGCCCGGTTCCCCTTGCGAATTTTCTCGAAATTTCAGTCCATTTGTTGACGCGTCGAATCGCGATTTCAATTTTATTGCTAAATTTTATTTAATGCTAATTTCATGTGGTCGGACAAACGCGATTTTCTTATTATGCAAATATTATATATTTCAATATTATATATTCAAATATTATTATTTTATTTTATATTCTTATTATGAAATATTATATATTTCTTATTATTCTTATTATTATATAATAATAATTCTTACTGCACAAGAGTATCCGTGCGCCTTTTAAACTGCGATAACTTTTTTAAAATTGTTCCAACGCGACGTGAATCTTCTTTTTTGAGATGTCAGTTCGACCAGTTCGCTAGAGAACGAGTGAACAACAATTTAATTTAGATCGCAATTGGTCGGTAAAGAAATTAAAAAATTATGTTTTCTCAATTTTTTTATTCGAGTCAATAAAAATTTGCGAAACCGATTTCAAAACATTGAAATATCCAGGAATTATGTGCTTTCCAGTGATCT